ATCGTCTGTCCAACTGAAACAATTATACAACGTGAATACAACACTGGTGATATTATATCTGGATTTTGAAGATAAAGATGTTCTATTCAAAATCACCTGTTCATAACAATAGACCTTTTCCCGATAATTCCATTTCTACACTATATTTTTCATTCAATATATATATTATCATAAAAATAAATCTAATTTTGTTTTTTCTTAACACTAGAGACTTTTGAAAAGCAGCGTCATTTCTTCTAAACATTGTCATTCGATTCTGTGGCTACACCAGGTTTAAAGTTTTAATGCTAGTCAGACCTCTGGCAGGAGAAGTTGTCCCAAGAGTCGAAGATTTACTGTTGTGTTATTGTTTTAGGTAATGGGGAAACCGGAGCACCCGGAGGCGTATCCAACCTACAACCTTCTTTGAGTGCTACCTTCACAACTGAAACAGACATTTCTGATAGATTAGAGTTTACTATTGGACACACATACATTGTTTTTATTAGTACATATAGAAGATTACATGAAAAGAAAAATCTCAATCTAATTGATGTGGTTTTGCTTTTCTTTCTCTCTGAAACACTGCTTTTAGAGCAGTACAGTCCAGTTCATAATGTGCAATTTTCAAAATTCCATTAAGATTATAAAGACTAAGAGATATTTGTAATATACCTTTAGTCTCTCAAGGTAACTACACATACGAAAAAGGTCTTTTCCTTTTGTATTGTGAATTCCATAGAGATACTGTACGCTAAACAGCTTCTTTTCTTCAAACTCTTTGTTCCATAAATATGTTCCCGTCATCTCTCATAAACAGTAGAATCCGTATGAAGCGTATCTCGTGGCTAATATTGATCTATTTATCACTGCTTCCCGCTAATTCTTCCACAACTGATGGCATCAATCGAGACGCATTTTCCCCCAATTGCACATTCCTGCTTTCCGTATTGATTCTGTCGCTTTCTCGTCCTCTGCGCGCGACACTTCTGGACTAATTTATTTACTGCGCTCACTTTGACCAAACCCTAAAAGAGTCAGCCATTTGTGTTTGTTTTCAATTCAACTGCGACATACTTTGCACAATGGTCTTATTTTGAGTTTTGATTAATCCACCATAAGCTCCATACATGCTATTACGCTTCTATTTCAAACTATCTATGCATTTGCAAATCCTTAGACTATGACATGAAAGAAGAGTTCTAGTCAAATTACGTGGTGGGATAGATTTAGGTCCAAATCTAGCCCAATGTAATCTCTCACTTCTGCCACTAGATGGAAGTGTTGCTCATTCTTGTCATTTCATACCTCACGTTTGCATATTTTTTCTGCTTTAATGAACGAAAATTACATTCTAAAACGTAGCAGATATTCTCAGATGCTCGATCACGTAAAGGCATAAAGGCATGTCTTTGTGATTGTTCATGACACAAAAGCTAAATATACACACTTAATGGTATCTATAATAAATCAGGTTTTTTATCCGTTGATTGGCAAGGGATTGATGCTGCCCCTCCCCCATTCATTCTAATTAAAAAAGCTCCGCACAAGATTATCCTCTGAGCTGTAGTAATAAAAAAAAGACCTGGAAGTCACTTACTGGGATAATAAAGTGGCCGCGTTGGAATATATCATGCTTTAAATAAGGCGGTGGTGAATCGATAATGCTAATTTGCTTGTGCGGAGCCAGTGGCGATAGAAAAGGAGGGGCTTTTTATGTGAATTGTGGATCGATTGAAGGTAAATGACAGGCTGATGGAAAACAGATCCATAGGGATTAGAACATTATAAGATTAGCTTTTGCATCGGAGAGTCCCATCTGCTTTATGCGTCTCTGAGGAGGTGAGTCTGCGGAGTAAAAGCACTAAAAATACTGTGCATGGACTAACAATATAACGTACCTATGTTGAGTTACTGAACGTCGGAAGGAACAGGATGATGTGAAGTCAAATTGGATGGACACTAATTGGACGTCATGAGATATCCTTGTCATTACTTGTGGCCTGGATGGTTCAATGCTTTGTCTTTGTGCAGCGTTACTTACATTTTCTCTGGCTAGTGTGTGTTTTTTGGTTAAAGAACACACCTCTCCTGATTGCAGCCTTGGACTATTTTGCATCTGTTCGCACCTTTAACTTTTGTACATGTTATTAGTACAATAGTTTGAATGCAAGAAGAAGACTTACACGCAAACTAAGCTAAAAATATAACTACATACCATAATTTGTAAAATGTAATAAAGCCAGGGTTCCTAGCTTTCCAAATACAAAAAAAGCATTGTGTAATGAAAAACCATGTTCCTTGTCACTTATCATTAGTTCCTCGCTCTCAACCGTTTGATCCTATCACAAGTTTTCAAACGCATGTATTTTTGGCCCCCGTCCCGTCTTTATCACAGCTTTTCCAGACAGGAAAGTGAAAGAGAGAGAACCACCCTCACTCAGCTTTCAGCCAAAGTGTCAAATAGGGACTCACAAAGCTCTCTTACAAGAATGCAAAAAATAGATTTCTAATAAGATGAAGGCAGAAAGTTGTGGTCTGGTTTTGCACTCTTTCTGTTATAGTTTTTTCATGTTATTTATGAACAAATATAAACACAGACTGCAAAAAAGAAGTGGACCAAATGAATAAGTTATTGCTCCGAGGGTGGGACATATTGAGCCAAATTCTCTCATAGTAACCCCCTAGCAACCAATGAGCCAATCAGGGGCATGGCTGCTCTGTTTCTGCTCACTCTAGTTACGACCAGACATGTACAGTAAGGCTTGAACCTTAACTAAGTATGTAATTAATAAATATGAACTAATAATAACTCAAAGTAGTGGTACTCTGTTGCATATTTTATACTATTCGATTTGTGCAGTATTTATATAATAAGTAACAATAGGAGCTTGCAGGTTTTGCTCTGTAGGTCCCTACCAAGCGGTCTAGACCTCAACAGTAAGGTCAGTGAGCCAGCTTTATTGCAAATATAATAATTAGGGCCGGTACTTTAGTGCGTTAATTATGATAAATTAATACACAAAATAACGCAGTAAATAACCCAGAAACATTTTTAATTATTTTTAACGCATCACCAACAGCTCCAGACAACAACAAACCGATGGATGTATAATATTATCAAAACAAACCACAGGGAGGATGAAGGAAAGAGCTAACCACAACAGGAAAGGGAATGTTGTTATAAAACGAAAAAAATGGAAGCGTTGATAAGAGCATGGTTGTGTTTTAATAATAGGCATTCCCTCTGAGGAGAGTGGTTCTTTCCTAACATTTTGGAAAATCCTCCTATACACCTTTAAGCTTAAGTATTCAGTCATCATTCAATGGTATACTAAAAATCCATGTGCAAAATAAAAGCTTCTCACTGTTCTCAGGTCAAATATTTACATTCAAATGTGATTAAATAATAACAAAGCCACTAATTGATTTGATTATTTTTTCATTTGAGTCTCGACCCTGAGAAGATTTAATAGCAACCACTGCTGTCACTTAAGATGACAAATTTGACTTGCAGATCAAACATGAGTCTAATAATCCAATCATTTATGCACAAATATTGTCAGATTGGGGTGCCATGGGGAGAGGAACAGAATATGTTTTGCTCTGAACAAAGAATGACACTGTAACAGCCTCAGCGCTCCATGCTAATTTGTGAAGGGAAGAAAATGACACCGCAGGAGGCGCACTCTTTCAAACACTTTGAACATGCGAGGGCTGCCTGACATGAAATATGTTTTTAATTATCAAAGCTTGTTTGCTATACTGAAACTGCAAAAAGAAAAGGTTTGGAAGACTCTTGTTTTGTTTTTCAATTTTGGATGAAATGTGTTTTCTCAAAGTCTCAGATGAGACTTTAGAAACAAGGTTTACACTGGAAAACTAAATCCAGTCATGTTCTGCTTCATATATTGTTTGACCAATAAGAATAATTCATGAAAATACAGACCATAAATATTGACCTCCAATCAATATTATACGTTGATTGGAGGTCAATATTTATGATCTGTAAGAATGAATGGCTGACATTAGCATTTGGTGAACCCTGCAGCCTAGTTCTGTTCTTCTACAATACTCAATAGGTTGAGAGCTGATTGGCTGAAAAGCAAAACTTTGACTGAGGCCAAATAGGCATGTATGAGAAAACTGCATGCATTTTTAGATGGACACTCTTACATATTCCTTTGAGTATGAAAATTAGATACCCCAGTGTTAAAGAGATACTAAACCTTACTCAAGAGCTCAAATGCATTGTCTATGTGCTGCGGATACAAAATACAGTACTTTTCATGAGCAATTTCAGCCACAAAGGTTCCACTCCAAGGCTAAATTACACTTCCGATCCCATTTTCCCTGTTGGCTACTATTCCGTTCTTGAGCCTGCATGTAGAGAGTCTATATTTGACCTGACCTTTACTTTTGAATGCACTGGAAACGGCATCAAGTCCTAAGTAGCTCTGAAACAGTTGTTGTTTTGTGCTTTACAATTGTTATTTTTCTTGCTTTTTTCTACCTGAGATGTTGCCGCAGTATAGTGTTCATGGTTTTGCACTGGTCCAGACCAGAGCAGAGAGGATTCATGGTCCGAACCAAGTGGATCAGCTGAAAATCCACTTGAGGAATGCTGGCTTTTTGAAAAATACTAACAAAGCATTTAGCATTTTTCTTTGGACTAGAGCAGAGAAAATGGTCCAAACCAAGCGTCCTGCTCCACCCAGAGGCTACTCCATCTCTGCTGCTGTGACCCGTCCTGTTCCACCCATAGGCTACTCCACCTCTGCTGCTGTGACCCGTCCTGCTCCACCCAGAGGCTACTCCACCTCTGCTGCTGTGACCTGAAGGGCTGTTGCTGATTATTACTATTGTTAGCTTTTTAGAATTATCAATGTTTTATTTTTTTATTTTTGCTGCTACTGGACACCTGAATTTCTCCGAAGGGGATCAAGAAGGTATCTATCTATCTATCTGAAACCACAAATCTGTTGTTGGAGCCTGTATGAAAGTCCGCTGAACTGCTGACCATGCGTGCCGTGTCCCCAACTTTACCACTGCTGTCTGGGATAACTGCCAAAAATGAAGAGCTCCTTACCCAGCACGGTGAGCTGGGCCCGTCGGGATCGCATGGCCGCCTGGATGGCCTGGCACTCAAAGTGGGCGTCGTCCTGGATGTCTGTCCTCTGGATCAGCAGGTGGTATTCTCCTTTGCTGTGGTCTCCAACAATGTCATATCTGGGGTAACCTGTAACGCACAACACAGGATACAAAGTTAAGAATTCTTATTATATAAAAAACAAATTGTCTGTTGTCTGTTTGTTTGTGTTTTGCCTATTAGCACAACATGAATGTATAATTTGGGATCATATTTGACATAATCAGTGAATCACCCTGGCCTATGGTGTTGTAAGTGGGAAATTATTACGTGCCTGATAACAACAACGATTGTCTTAAATTGTATCACATATGCGCCAAGAGCAGACCAGGGACCAGTCCACAGGTTTCAGGTGGAGAGTTAAGGGTTTTGGGGCTCGACACTGCAGCCATTTTAGTTATAAGAATGTTTTTTGACTGTTGACATTTCTTAAAACTAATTTGGAGACAATACTTTTGTTTTAGGCAGAAACTTACTCTGTCCATGATGTAATAGTATAAGAATTCGTCATGGCGTAGTAAGTTTGAGATAGGAGCATTAAAACAGAAGGAGCTACATGACTGTACTGTACAGTATATGTACTGTATCACAAATTAGAATGTAAACTGTTCTCAACTACTCTGTCCTCTTCAACTGTCCATATTATTAAACACAGAATATTTCAGTAAAAAAACAAGTTGACAATAGATGAAATAGACCTGTAGACAAGGACAGAAAACATCGGACAATTGTGTCTTGGTCATCGCTATTTTTTGTGGTTGACTTAATATGTATAACCAGTTCACTTTTCTGCTTTTCTTCTTTAAGCAAATGTTTAATTACCAAAACGCTGTCAATATTGTCATGGCTACTTTTGCTTCTGTTGTTTGTCCCACCTGAAAGTCTTGTAAAAGGAAAATATTGCTGATCTAAAGATGTGACAGAAGCCAAGCATACATGCATGATAGAACCAAACCGTTTTAGACCCATGGAACTAGCTATTGTATATCATTAATGTGGATTGAAAGTGAGGTACCCCAGCTTTAACACCAGGGATGGGACGATTACTGGTCCGTCCCTGGACTGCACACTCGTAGTGATGAGTCGGCGTGTTTGGGGAGCGCCAGTGTCTTGTGCGCAGATCTTCTTCCTCAGCATTAGCGTGCGTGTGTAGGGTTTCTCACTCCTGTCATTTTGTGCTTGGCTCAGGCCCCACTCCGATGCCTTCACAAGGGGATGTATTGCATTTCAGCAGACCCCCCCCCCCGATCACAGCCCCCCACCCCCCTTACACCATAACGTATAAAGTCAGCACTTGTAATGGGCCGTCAAATCCAGCGTCTCCTCCACTGGATCCTCTTTCTCTTGCTCTTTTTGTCCTTCTCTTTACATGAGTATTAGAGAGCTGTGACTGCATTTTTATTTTTTACAGAATTTCTAAAAACGCACTAACACAATTTGTCAATATTTTCTAGACAATGTTGTACTTGTCTTTCCCCTTGACAGTCACAGAAAATCATATATATTTGATGCTTATTCTGAAGAATCCAGACTAAAACATCATGATCAGTGTTAGTTGAATCTAAATGACTATTCCCAGTTATTGCAAATGATCTTACTGTATTGAAAACAATGGAGCTATCCCTGTGTTTAGAGCTCAAAAACAGGTTTAGAAATACAGTAGTAGTAGTTGTAATATTTGTAGTATTTCTCTGTGAGTGCATTTGGACTGTTTTATCTGCTAATGGAATTTGCAGGACCAGTCTTATCAAATTCAGTTTTAACCACAGTGGGACTTTAGGGGACAATGGGCCTCATTCACGAACGGTTCTTAGGAACAGATTTGTACGTAAATCCTACTTACGCGGTTTTTACGAAGAAAGTGGCATTCACGAATATTTCTCGTAACCAGAATTTCACTTGGGCAAGTACAAATCCTACGAGTCCTCAGGAGCACTCGTACGCATTCAGTGCCGACATGTTCACAGCCGGGGTTGTCCTCTTTGGTGAAGTTGAATAAAAATACAACATTCCAGTGATATGTCCGTCATATCGATGTATGTATTTATTTATTTGTAGTAATCTTTATTAGTAATCTTTATTTATATACCGCCTTTTTCACTGCAGATCTGGCCTACTTTTTAATTCATTTTGAAATGAAATGTGCCAACGCTTTATCAAATACATTGGAAATCTTGCCGTGTATTAGTGACCCCTTCCTATTTATAGGGGGCAATTCTTTATCCACGGGCCACAGAACAACGGCATATATACTGCTGCTGCAGGAGGTTACTGGGTCCGCGCTGAGTCTCTGCGCTGGTCTCTCCTATGGATCTATACGGGTCTGCGCTGGTGTCTCCCATGGATCTATACGGGTCCGCGCTGGTCTCTCCTATGGATCTATACGGGTCTGCGCTGGTCTCTCCCATGGATCCATACGGGTCCGCGCTGGTCTCTCAAGTCTGGTCTATGCGGTCTCTCTTCGGTCCGCGCTGGTCTCTGCGCACCGGTCTCTCCAGTCAGGTGTCTCCAGTCTATGCGGTCTCTCCTGTCCGCGCTGGTTTCTGTGTGCTGGTCACTCCAGTCTCTCCTCGGGTCTGCATTGGTCTCAGCGCTGGTCCGCGCTGGATCTCCTCCCAGGGTCCAAAATATTTTGAGATTAATCTCAAAACATTTTGAGATTCATCTTTAAAATAATACATAATATATTTTTAAATTAAGCTCATAACATTTTGAGATTAATCTCATCATATTCTTAGATTAATCTCATAATTTTGCTAGTTCGACTTTATAATCATAATATTTCGACTTTTATGTCAACATTTTATAACTTTATTCTCAGTCTGGCAAAAGCCTGCTTTAGGCCTGTTGCTGTTTCCTCTGGCGTCTGCACACGGCCCTGCAGTCCCTTATATGGGCATTAGTGGGCGGTTACTTATGCTAAGTACCTATGGTAATGAAGCACCGGGCACGCGCGCTCTACTTACGAGGAAATGGGATTCATCAATCTGAGAGAACAGCTGCGAACAATTCAGCGGCTTACGAGTGCGTTGATGAATCCCACGTGGGGACTTCTTAGAAATCTACTTAAGGACAACTTGAGAAGAAAGTTGAGTAGTTTCTTACGAAGTTATTCGTGAATGAGGCCCATTGTTCTTGTCCTTTCATTTCAAAAGGCCAAATAATTTCTATTCTTTTCAAGTTTCAGTTTGACCTCAGATTAAAGTGATTGTCTGGAGTTTGTCAAAATAAAGAGAGAGAGGTACATGATTCTGATTGGTCTACGCCTACGTTTCCATAACAATCAATCAACACATTTAAATGTTAATCGGAGAACACATTATACATATACATTATTAATTCACATGCACAGAGGTTTTCAGAAGTATTTGTTAACGTTTTCATGACAAAAATAATGTTTTAATGCACAAAAAAAGTGATCGCGGTAACCCTGGAAGTAGCTATCATCATTAATTGAGCATTATTGGACCCATCTGCAGAGGATCTGATTATGTATATAGGTTCAGTATATAAATGATTATGGATATAGGTTCAGTATATAAATGATTATGGATATAGGTTCAGTGTATAAATGATTATGGATATAGGTTCAGTATATAAATGATTATGGATATAGGTTCAGTATATAAATGATTATGGATATAGGTTCAGTATATAAATTATTATGGATATAGGTTCAGTATATAAATGATTATGGATATAGGTTCAGTATATAAATGATTATGGATATAGGTTCAGTGTATAAATGATTATGGATATAGGTTCAGTATATAAATGATTATGGATATAGGTTCAGTATATAAATTATTATGGATATAGGTTCAGTATATAAATTATTATGGATATAGGTTCAGTATATAAATGAGTAACTCAGCACGGATGTTCAGAATTCTTTGCTCAGTTTTCATGTACAGTAGTTTCAGAGCCAAATGGAGTCTTGATTCGGAGGCTCCGTGAAAACAAACAACTGAGCATGCGCGCGGCTACGAGCATGAGCGCCGATGATTGACAGCCCTTGGCATCACTTGATTGGTTAACGTGGACGGCATCATGGATTTTGAGCTATAGCTAAGAGAAGGGAAGGCGGGACTTACCCGTAATATTAGAATTCATAAAATGACTTATTTTATACCAACATGTAAGGCCAGGAGGTCAATTTAATACAATTCTTAACATTTAGAGTTATACATTTAGAGTTCCAGACGATCACTTTAAGATCTCCTTGTGCACTTGTCCTACAGTATCTTATCTTAAAACTGAAATAGCAAATTGTAATTGCAATGGATATTCAAAAAATAGAAATTACTCAGATGCTATTGTGACAAGCTCACTGTCTCTATGTGATACATGGATGATTCTATAGACTTCAGCAGCCAATTTTGTTCAAAGCGGGAAAAAATATGCCGTTCGCCGACTTCAGAATGGTGCACAACCGACGTTTCGTACAGGGGTATAGAGTCAAAGGTTATTTTTGGCAGCACACATCTTTTCTTCAAATCATGAAGTTGGTATGCCATATTTTGGAAACAGATTTTTCAGAATGTGTGTTTCCTTTGCACTCGGAAGATGAAACAATGTAGTAAACGGAAAACCAGAAAATCACAATTATTTGAATGCTTGTAAACAACAGAATCCTTTTAAATCTTTAGGATCATTATCGCATAAATGGTTATTGGGTTTGTTTACCCACAGTTTGGAAGCCCATAGCAGCGAGCCAAAAACAAAAAAGGGAGAGAAATGGAAATCCAGCATAAATTACTAAAGATTTTCAAACCTGTTCTTGTTTTGCAATATCTTGTTTTGTAGTGTTTTTCTCTGTGCAGTTTGAAGAGAGACCAACGACAGAAACATAAATCTAACATCTGCAATGTTCAGAACAGTATATTGCACCAAAATATTAAACTTGCTAATTCTGCAAACTACATTCATCTTGTGGCTCTTCCTGTGCTATGGGGACTGAATTTTAATTTGAAAGCATGAATTGCAAATCACCAGCTTAATAGCATAGCAAGAAAAAAGTTTATTTGGCCAAAACATACTACTCTCCAAAATATTCTGCCTATAGAACAATTGATCTAACTTTTTTCCTCTCTTCTTTCGTCTCCTTGAAATCGACTTGGG